TGAAGGACTGGTAGTAGAATTTTCCCACAATCATATGAGTTGAGCTGACGTTTTCCATTCAATTTCACATCGTCTTGCTTTCCCAAAAGTTGTTCTCATCCTCGGCTCAACTCATGTCATTGTGGGAAAATTCTACTACCAGTCCTTCATCACCTTAGACGAAATAGGTTGAATACATCTCATTGCACACATATTTGCCTAAGTGTGACTGAGGAAGGGTGGGATTTCGAGGAAGTGTCATTTCAAGCGAAAAGTTAGTCGGCCTCACTGGAGACCGAAAAGGGTTGCTTTAGAGTGAAGACTGTTGAATTGTGTAACGATATCCAACACGACAGCCCAAAGAGCCACTTCATATAACGTGAACATTGCAAGCACACATTACACATCGCTGCATGCCTCAACAATTTCCAGACATTTTTGTAGTTTTTTGCATGCTACACGAATGTAGAGTGACCGAAACATGGGGGGCCTCGTTAAGATCGTAAAGTTGGGCATAAGAAGTAGCTAAATTTGCAGACTGCCTCCTTTTTTCTCTTCATTCTTGTATATTTGTAGGCTCCTACAAGGCCCATCACATGGCAGACGGCTTAATCATAGTCGCAAAATCAAATCGTATTCACTCTTTGACATTTCATGCTTTGTTGGGGGGACTTTCATTTCGTATGAAATCGCCTGAAGAAGATATTGGTACGTCGATCCACGTCGTGTTATATACAGTCCACGAGATTGCCTCCCTCGTTTCGCGTGAAAACGATGGACATCGTCAGAGCTGGGTACAAGTTTCACGTTAACACGAGGGCAAGAACAATATCCGGTTCTATCTTACCTCTTTTATAGACTTAATTGAGCAAAATAAAATTGAAAATCTAGATGGATATGAAGTGGTTTGGCTAATTACCTTTCACACTACTCCTGTTACTTTGACTCGAGTGTGTGCGTGTGTGTATGTGAGCGTCTATACGCAATACCGGTGAAATCAATTAACATACTCCTTTTCAAGCAACTTTCTCTGCGAGAGCAACACTATAGTTACATGATAATGTCAACTATTATCGACGAATATCGAGAATGCACACAAATTACGGAAATGTGTCTAACATGAGCTCGTGAAAAGGATGTTTTCATCTTTTAGCGAAATGGCGATATTATCGAAACCTCTGACGAGATTGCAACTACAAAGCAATAAGCGGCAATCGTAGCGCAATTCACATCTCCCTACTCGCCTTCAGACGGCTTGAGCATGTGAATCCACCCGCAGAGTGATTACCATTCGCCCACTGGGTGGGGAAGAAGAAGTATGCTTTGCCTACATTGGGGTGGGATGAAGAAATGTTGTTCGTATTTGAGTAGAGTTTCAAGACTACCAGTAAATCAGTAGTATGAGATGTATTCACCCAATTTCGTGTAAGCTGATGAAGGACTGGTAGAAGAAGAACAACTTTTGGCAAAGCAAAGCTGTGGGAAATCCAACGGAAACGTCAGCTCAACTCATATCATTGTGGGAAAATTCTACTATCAGTCCTTCATCTCACATTAAAGACATGTTCCCGACCTGTTGTTTGTCGACGGAACTAGAAAAGAAGTGAAAAGAGAATTCATTTTATGTGGAATCTTTGAAGTTAAAACTGACGTGTGTGGATATCGTCCATCAAGTTATTGATGAATAATAATACTTCTGAGCATATTTTGCATGCAAGTATAGAGCTTGAAATCATTTCTGCTTCATTTTATGATAAATTAAGCCAAACTGGGTGGCCTAAAGTGAGTTGAAAGCAAGATGATTTCACAATGCCAATAAAATGTACAGCT